CACTGATCCAATCCTCGGCTTTCTCTACTCTGCTGGTTAGTCCTTCCAATGTGTTCTTAATTTCTGCAATGTCATTCTTCATTTCCACTTGGTTTTCAGTGTTTGTATATCTTTACTCATGGTGTTGATGTTCTTACTCATGCTTTTGAGCTTCCTCAAGATCATGGCTCTGAATTCTACCTCTGATAACTTGCTTAACTGCATTTCATTTATCTCATTTTCAATAGAGGTCTCTTGTTCCTTATAATTTGGAATTTGTTTCTTTGTTTCACCATTTTGGCTATCTCAGTGGGTTTTGGAGCCTGCCAAATTTTCCCTATGGGTGTTGGTGTTCTGCTGTTTGTAGCTCCCTCTACCGGATTTGGATGAGCGTGGGAGGGCCCATGTTAAACCGCACTGTCAAGTCTTACTTTCCTGGGTAGATTTGCAAGCCCAGGAAAGGTTCAGCTATCTTCTAGCTTTTTGCCTGGAGGCTATTAGTCTCAGTTACTCAGGGCCTTGGAATGTAGCCCTGTGTTCTGCGTAAGAGGATTTCCAGGTGGGAAAGATGCTGGTTGTTAATAAGCCTGAGTTTGCATTTCTTTGCCTCACTGGGAATGGGCCAAATCTCTGAGGGAGGGGCTGCTGCTTTTCCCCACAACTCTGGAAAGGAGCACACCTGCCATTGTTCTTTGTGGTCGCAACTCAGCAAAAACTCTGAGTGCCCTCCAAATCCCAGGTATCCCCACAGAGTTCCAGTCCAGTCTGCCTTCCCTCTGCTGGAGCCCCAGGTGAGTGTCTATAGCCAGTTCAGTGCTCTGTTTCGGCCTTCTGCGCTGTGGAGCAGGCTTGGGATTTTAACCCCAAGGGAGCTGCTCACAGCTAAGACTGCTGCTGTCTGTGGGCTCCCAGCCCACCACCCTCTTGCACCTCCACAGATTCTACCAGTGTCCCTGGTTATATGGTCCTGTTCTGCTGCTTTTTTATGATGAGTTGACTTAATTTTAGTTGTAATTTCCATTTGGTCCTGGAAATGGAGATCGTCTGTGTAGCTTCCATTTACTCCACCACCATTTTTTCTCTCGCAAATGCCATTTTTGACAAGTCCAATTGTAGGTCCTCAGAGAACTGTTTTACATCCCCACACCCTTTGTAGGTGGGCACTCAAACCATAAGTTTTAAGGACAATGGTGCGATAAATCCAGACACCAGGACTCTCTGGGTCTCTTCCTCATTTTCTCCAAATGTTCCTCCTAAGGCAATGTTTTTCCAGCAGCCTCTGAAGACCACTCAGAGAGTAGCCTCTGTGGGGGTCTGACCAAAGTGCGGTTCCCCCGAGCCGAAGGTGTGGAGAGGGATGTAGTGGTTTATGATGAAACAGTGTGGCCCCTGGCAGTTATTTACTCAGGTTCCTAAATATTTGACCAGTGTTTGAGTTTCACATCTTAATAATGAGTCCTAAAGTTCTTTCTCAGAAAACTTTTCCAGGATTGCTCAGGAGTGCTCACTACCTCCCTTGGCCCTTCTTTTTTTTCTTTTCTTTTTTTTTATGGTTGTACCCTGGCCCATATGGCTCAGTTCGTTGGAGTGTCATCCTGTGTACCAAAGGATGGTGCGTTCCATTCCTGGTCAGGTTTGAGGGTTCGATCCCCAGTCAGGGCACATGTGAGGCAAAAATAAATGTTTCTCTCTTACACTGATGTTTTTCTCTCCCCTCCCTCCTGCCTCTAAAATCAATGAAAAACACATCCTTGAGTGAGGATTTAAAAAAAAAAAAAAAAGTTTACATACCTGCCATTTCCTAGGCATTCTTTCTGAATACTGAATTCCTACTCTTTTTCTCAACTTCTCCTGCTGTTTACAAGTGATGAGACTGGTATGTCCCCTAACTTTATATTTCTCTAATGTGTTTATTTTTCTGTATGTCCTTTTACTTTTCTGCATACATCAGGATGTTTTAGTCACAGACTCCATGGTCAGGAACCTAGGAAGCCAGTAGAGTGTGGAAGCTGAGGGCACAGATTCAAACACTCAGACACAGGCTCACTCTGGGCTCTGCTACCACTAGCTGTGTGAACTTAAATAATTCATTCAATCTTTGTGTCAGCTTTCGTCATCTGTGGAAGGAATAGTACCCATCCCATGTGGTGAGGATTAGATAATGTGTGCGTGCAGCTTAGCCAGGCACCTGTCATACATACGCAGCAGATGCTGGCCACTACTGTATTCTCTGATGAAGGGCTTCAGCCCTGCATGGTAGGTTCTGAAATGCCTAAGAAAGGCCTTTGATGATAGTGCTAGTGATGACACCATTGTTAAAAGGACAGGAGGCCCTTAGGACTCAAACTCAGTGCTAGAATCACACAGTTCAAAGTTACTAGAAACTTTTAATACAATTTTGCCTGGTTAGTCAAGGCATGCTTTCTTTACCCACTGTGTCTATTAGGGAAATCAAGTCATGATCATTCATTTGTAATTTCTGAGGAGGGGAGGGACTTTGGGGACTATGATAATAATAGGGAAATGCCATTATCCTTTAGGGGCTGGGGAACCCCCTAGCCACCCATCTCTCCCCTCTGGACCTAGGGAGAACACAAAGATCAGTGGTTGAACAAGGACTGATGATCTTGACTGGGCAAGCACCCCATAAACCCATAACTGCAAATGAAAGGCTCAGATAAAAGCTAGACTGGAGAAGATGGCTGAGGCCAGGAAGCCCAAGTGAGGCCTGAAAACCACACAGACAAAGGTTTGGTGACCATGACTTTCCCCTTGATTCCACCACATAGCTGCCAGTCCAAGGACTGGGTAGATGAGAGGAGGGAGACATGCTACTGGAGGAGGCCTGGAGGGCCCAGAGGGAGGAGCCGGCCTTACCACGCTTAATCCATTCTCTCCCCTTAGAACCAGAAAGGCGGTGGTATTAACTAGATGTTTACTTCACTATATGCTCACTACATGCCAGGTGCTGCTCTAAGCACTTTTCGTGAAATACTTAATGAAATTCTTAGCAACCCTGAGGCTAGTCCTCCGGACATGAGCATGCTAGATGCTCCCCCACCCCCACATCAGAATTGGCTCCATTCTCTGCACGAGTAGCCTTCCCACTACTTAGTACAATTGAAGTCTGTCTGTCTGGGACAAAGTGACATAATGTGGATACTGTCCAGATGTTTAAAAAGTAGGCAAAAGATAGCAAAAGGCCTCAGAGCTGGTGAGTTCTGTGTGCAGACTGCGGGCCCCACTCGTACCGTCTCCTTAGTGCGCACACTGGGCTACGTGTTCAGGACGCTCGCAGTGATGCCTTCTCGTCACTCCACAAAACCTGCCGACTGCCCCGCCCCCGCCCTTGCCTGTTACCCCATCACTTGTCTCTCTACTCTTGCTCCAGTTTCCCTCTTCCCTTTTTCTTTAACCCACCAACAGTTGGGTTTGAGAAGAAGAAACATGGAGCGTCTCATACCCCCCAAAACTCTAGAGTGACAGCAAATTTTAAAAATCGGAATTTCTAAGCAGTGGAGAGTTCGTAAATATTAGTAATTCCTCTCATCTGGTGGCATTTCCAAAATGGGCTTTCTTTTCATGCTGTCCTGTCCCCCCACCCAAACATAAGTCTGAGTGGTTCTCCTTCCATGGCTCTGCCCCAAGGACTGCTTAGGGTCTGCCCCAAGGACGTGTACATGCCCCTCCCAAGGCACACTCCACGGACAGCACCTCTTTCCCTCACCCATTCACAACTCTTCTTCACAGGTTCTGAAGTTGGTCAGCATTGACTCAGCCCCTTGGTGTGGGCACAAAGAATACCACAAGTGTGAGCAGTTTACACTTTATTTTCACCCATTAAGCACAGGAAAGTCCGGGCAGCAGAGGTGTCGCAACCACTCCCCTGGGCCATAGACAGACCGTGAGACTTGGTGGTGAGGGAAAGGGGTCCTAGTGCTACCACAGATTGCTTTGGGGTTATCACAACAACACATTATTCTTGGTTCTATTTACACCATGGAGTGTAGAGAGGGTACATTTCTTACACTAAAAATATATACTTTGGAATCTCTAAAACAAAAATATCTCTATCTCTACATGAAGCCTACTAGAAAGAAGAACATAGAAAACAGAAATGTACCAGCACCTCAAGTTGCCCCCTCCTGAGGGATGGCTGCTCTGTCCTCCACCCTTAGTTTGGGAGGGCAGCCACACCTAACCAATCAGACGACACGCACAGGTAAATGTGGAGGAGGCTCATCATCTTGGAGGAGTGAATATGGGAAAAAGGAGCAGGGAGGAGGATTTTGACCTCCTTTGCAAAAGGAGTAATTGCACATTCAGTTCGGTATTTCCGCTGCCAACATCACTGCCTGTGTTAAAACCCCGCATGTTGGCGTTGGCTGCAAACCTGCTCAGAGAAGCCCAAGCTCGGCTGACTTCAGCTGGGCTCTGGAAAGTGCCATGGGTGGGTTCTCTCTAACAGGAGATAGTAATGCCATCAGCTAGAAGAAAAAGCTCTATTCTCCAGTGCTGAAAGTGGGTTAGGTTTAAGGAGAATGCCATTCCTTTTCTTTTCAGAAGGATTAGAAATCATTCCATTCCCTTTGAGCACAGAATCTCCTAAAAGAATTATGCCTATGGATGAATCATTCTACTTTCTGGATTTTCCCACTGAAAAGATTCACAGAACTCTCCCTTCCTCTTTTCATGATTCAAACAGTGATGGATACAGTGACTTCATACCTCTTTTGGTTACAAAAATTAGCCTCTTTTATGGTAAAAAAAAAAAAAAAAAAAAAGTTAACTGAGTCAACTGCGCATTCTCTATAATTAATGTAAGAGAACAAGGGTTCCAAGAAACATGAAGAAAAAGCCCTGGCCAGGTAGCTCAGTTGGTATAAATGTCATCCAGATATGCCAAGATCACAGGTCCCATCCCCAGTCAGGGCACATACAAGAATCAACCAATGAATGCATAAATAAGTGGAACAACAAATCGATGTTTCTCTCTCTGTCTCTGTCTCTCTCTTCCCCTCTCTCTAAAATTTATCAAGAAATAAAATATTTTTAAAAGAATCATAAACAATAGATTTGGTAGAAAAATTACTTCTATTTGGTTTTAGAATGTCTTTTTCTATTTATACTGAAATATGAGGCTGAGGGCTTGAGAATCCATAGCCCCTCATCCTAAATAAGAAAACAACTATAATGTCCCCTTTGCGAGAGCCCCAGAACTATTCAACCTCCTCACCTCTCTTGCCACCCCCAAAACTAGTGGTGGTTTTTAGAATCTCTGACGAAGAACGTCTTCTCTCTAAGGAGAACCTGAAAGACTGAGGAAAAGGCAGAAAGGAGAGGAAAGGGAACCTGACAAGGCTGAGTTAGTAAAAGGGGTAGAACTTGCATGTCTTCTTTGGCCAGACAGGCCCACAGGAAGGACTCTGCCTATGGGAGGCCCGACAGCTACAACCAAAAGTCAAGAAGGCTGAGAACCTTCAATGCAGGGCTCCCGGATGTCCTGCCAGGATGTGACTTGGAAATGTGAGAAGCCCAAAGAAAATGCAATTAACAAACTAGCAAACAGTGTTCAAAGTCTTAGGAGAAGATGTTAACGCTCTTGCAAAACAAGAAATTGAGAGAAGCTGGTAAGGCGGCAGCGAGAACATACTGTGTAGTACTTCTGATGGGACTTAAAAGGAAAGCCAGGGGACCTCGGGCCAAGGTTCTCCCGTGCTTCAGGAAAACATGGAGACTCGGAACATGGACATTGAAATCAATGGAGAAGATGCAGGGAGGACTGCTGACTCCTCTACTAAGAGAAAAGTCTGGAAAGTTGGGTAGGTAGAAAATAAAGTAGAACTGGGAACTGCCTGTTTTGAATGACCAGAAATCACAGATTCCTAGAATCAGAGACCTCTTGAAACTCACAGTGGTCATAGCCTGAGACTTCAACCAAGCCTGAGACTTAGCATATACCAGATTTTTATCAAATATTTATGACTAATTTAAAAGCCAGTCACATCCCAGACAAAGAGAAATAGCAAATGTTCACACTGTCCTTTGGAAATATATGGTTCACTATCCCTCTATCCTAAAGGCGAATGTATATGAATAAGGAGACAGGGATGGACGCTCTATGTGGTAAAGACCAGATCTCCTGGCTACTCCACCATTAGAAGTCTGAAATCATATAACTACAAAGGGCTAGCCTGCGTTTTATGCAACCAAACTTATTTGGCAACTTTATAGCATATTTTTGATCATTTTCACCTTTTCTCCAGACCCTTCCTAAAAGTCACAGACTAGGAAGTAAGCCACCCTCTTAGCAATGCCGGTTCTTCCTTCCCCCTTAGAAGCAAGATTCCACTCATTATCACTTTCTTAAATCCCTGTCCTCTCTACTATCAGCCCATCAGGGCACTGGCCTGCCAACACTCAACTAAAATCCACCCTTGTCATAAATGAGGTGGACTGTTTCACTGGCCCAAGCAAACCTGGGCACAGGAATTACCTAACTACCTGCCTTACTTTCCACCCCTAAGTCCGTTTCTCACCTTTCTCTTAGTCAAATCAGCCTATATTTGTCCTTGAGCTATTCTATTGGAGAAATCTGAGAGGGGACCCCTAGATGGGGGAATGATCATATTATTTTGATGTCCCCACAGTTTAGGTGTGCAGGCTGTTTAATAGCAGCAATGAATGCTTATGGATAAACTTTCATTGGTTGATAAGCACACATGCATATGCACACACATACACACATGCTGCTGTTTCACATCCACTCCGTTTCCTGCCCCACACACAGCCCAGCCTGACTCTGCCACCATGGTCACCAGCCACAAACCTGAGCGAGGAAGCAGCCAAGACTGAGATGGAGTGTTTGGTGGGAGCTGGGAAACAGGAGAGAGTAAGAATAGGAAATGATTCCTACCACTGAGATGTAGCAGAAATGAGTCTGGCTATTGTCTGAGAAAAATCTAATGGCCTAAAAATATTGGCACAACCTTCGAAAGCAGCTAACGCTCCTAAGGTGCAGTGACCTGTGTGGTCTGGCTCGGGAAGGACTCGAAAGTGCACACGTGGTCCTGTAACTGCTTTGCACAGTCAACAAGGACAAGGACAGATTCCCTACTCGGAAGAAGTCTAGCAGACACAAGGCATCATAAGACATCAGTGTATTAAGAGAGAGACTTTTCTGAGTGATATTGTCCCTCAGTTTTGTTATATGAAGGACTTTTCCCTGTTATGTTCCTTACAGCCTCACTGAGGTTGGGGAACAGGGGAAGCAGTCACCAACCTCCCTACACAGAGGTGGCAGGTGAAGATGGGAGGGGCAGATGGAGGGAGAGTGCGGGGTGTTCTCCAGAAACGAAGGTGAAAAAGAAGGCAAGCTCAAGGAAGCAGCCAGAGGGCAGGGAAAGCCCCTCCCATTGACAGGCTGCCTTTTGATTTTTCTAGATTAGGTAGGTAAATGGGCACAATTATTACATTTATCCCAAAATGACAAAATGTGAAGCTTTGGCTCACAAAGATTTTAATTCCCTTGTAGTTCAAATAATTCCTATTCTTGTCTGCACCACATGAAAGGAAATTGGGGCTGTCCCTAAAGCAGCCTTGTAAGTAGAAAATCATGAAAACAGGAACAATATCCACAACTCAAAGGGATATTACTTAAACATTTGAAAGCAGCATGCCTAGCAGAATAGTAAATACTGCTTGTTTACAGCAGGCATCCGTTCTGAGTGGAAGGTGTCCATCCTATACCAGTTGTTAAATATTTTGAAAATCATTTGTATATTAAAATAACTATGGCTCTAAGAGATAGGGAAATATGAAGGGAATGCAGGATTCCTTCAATATCAAAGGTCCTTAGAGTAAGCCTAGAATATACAAATCTATTTTAAAAGTCTAAGGAATGCAAAATTCCATAAAGTTATGTAGCCAACTCTTAACCTATGAAAGGAGAACACACTGAGGGAACATCCCACTATACAAAGATTTTCCAGGAGGGAAAACTAATATGATGGGATTCCTTAGGTGTCAACATACTTGCTAATCACATTCTGTGCACAAAAGAAGGAAAGGTCTATGCACACTGGAGCCCAAACCACTGATATTCATTGCAACAGAGAAGAGAAGAGAAAAAGTGTAAATGTAGTTAGTTGTAAATTAAATACCAAAATTAATTTTACCACTTACAGTTCATTTCCCAATGTGGCTTTTTACATCTGAGAGCCAGAACATTTGTCAACCAACAGAAATCCATGACAATGAAGAAACCACATGGCTGAAAGCGGCTTTGGTCCACTGAGTTGATGATATGGTTTGCTACTAAGGCAGATAAGGAGACATTACGTAAGCACTTGGATATTTCCAGGAATGGAATCAAATGTGTTCTCAAGAGACAGCAGCAAAACATGGATGTTTCCACAATGTGGCCAATAAAAACACCTTATCTTCCTTTCTACTCACAAACAACTATTATCAAACCTTAACCAGATATCTAGAAAGCAGACACTATGACGATATTCAGCCTCGAAAGTCCTTCCTAGTGTCTAAACTAATTCTTTCTGTAGCAATTTAAGTTCAGTCTCTTACTCTATCCTCAATGAAACCAAGAGAAGCTACTCATCCTCACTCATCAGTATTGATTTTCCTCTGAGTCTTTTCCTGTCTAAGCTCAACAGCTCTTGGCTCTTTCATCATCCAAGGTCCTTGCTGAGTTATGCAAACTGCTGCCAGGGAACAATGAAGATACCCCCGGGTCAGAGACGTCTTCTGGATGTGGTGGTGGGCATTGCCAATGCCCAGGTCGCTGACCTTCTTCGTAGCTGACCCTTCTGACAGCCTCTGAGTCTGACCAGCATCCCCCAGAGCAAGCAATCCAACCAAGGCCCAGGGCTGCCTCGGAGCCTACAGAAACTGGGGGAGTGGAGTGCCTTCCCTTTTCTCTCTGCTCTGCTCCTCTCCCCTACCCCATCATGTAGGAAGAGGACCTCATTGAAGGAATCCTCAATGGTAGAATGGATCCATATGGCTTGGCAGGCCAGCAGAGAGTTTCAGAAAAAATGTCTGGATGATGGGAAGCTGAGTCTTCAATGGTGGCAGTTCTGAAGGGAAAGAGACGGAAGAGGAGAAGTACCAACAGGAGGTGGTCTTCTGCTTCCATGTTACCATCTGGCTGCTGGTATGGGGATAGCTGGATGCCCTCCAACACACGCCATGAATTATGGAATGCTTCGGCATGGCTTTGACGTGACCTAGGACAGGGCCAGACTTGGTCTTGCTTCTTCTCTGAGAGATTCACCGTCTTCTCTGTAACCAGAACTTCCCTGAGGCACCTCGTGGCCCAAATCTTCCATCCTGGCAAAGACTTTTAGTTGAAGAGACTGAATAAAAGTGTTACAATTAGACAAAAAGGGAATACATGATTCATTCCTGCTTTTAACACAATACTTTGAAGATGTCACCACAATTTGGATCTGGCTATATTTTAAGTTCATTTACAAGTAGACTAGTTCTCAACTAAAAATAACCACGCGCGTTATACATTTTGACAGCTGCCGGGATTTTTCTCTAAAGGAAACAAGATTCTATATTTCACTCACATTCAGCACAGATTTATTTTAACCCATTGGATGGAGAACTAACCAGTTTCTCCTCAGAGCAGCCTTATGAGTGCAGCAGTTAGTAGTATCCCCATTTTTCTGCAGAATAAACCGAGAGCCAGAAACAGTGGCCAGATTGTATATGCAATTAATAACTAAATTAGGTCTTCTCATTGCTAGCTTACTGCTTTTTTTTTTTTTTAACCAGAATAGTTGCCTTTACTAAAACCTAAGAGCTCCTTTTCAGTTATCTGCCTAATTAAACTTAAATAGTGTTTGGACTAAATTCTTCAATTTGGGTCCATAGCCTACCTCACTGCAGGCAAAGATGCCTCAAGTCCTTCCATTTTCTTCATTAACCTGATTAAATTTGATCTATGCTATTGGCAAATGATATACAGAATTAAGTTTCCAAAATAAGAAAACAGTTGTAATTTAATACTTCAAAATCTTTACTTGGCAATAATTCTCATTATGAAGTTGTATCAATACTATCAACACTATCTGAGTATTTTAGCAGTTTCCCAGTTTGTGTACCTGCAGTAACCAGAGAAATGCTCTATAGATATTGAAATGGAGACTAGAAAGAAGATCAGGGGAACTAAGTAGATAAAGCAAGTGTACATCCCCAAATAACTGCATCCTGACTTTGGACCTGTATAAAAGGGCAGCTCAAAGCAGCATATTTGTTCAAATCATTGGGAAATGTTTTTACTTTCCTTAGGCTCCAATTATTCTTTGGGGTTAGTAGCAGTCCTGGAAGGGATATTTATTGCACAAATTCAATTTTACAATTAAAATATCTTTTACTTTCAACATGATTGCTATTTTTAAAAGCTAGAAATAAATAAAAATCAGCAGTTATAGTTCTTTTACCTCTTTTCCTTTGTATTTCCAGAATTCATACTGAGAGCTTTCCAGACTGTGGTTTTAGGCATTTCATCAGATATATTAATCTCAGAGGGGTCACATCTGAAATGAATACTTAGGATAGTAAATGTCAGACATACAAATAAAATACATAGCTCAGTCTATAATGACCACCACCCACCAGAAAGGAAAATATTAGGTCTGAAGGAGCTCAGCTAACAGCTCTTAGGAGGACTGGGAACCAGACAGTCAGAATGTGGAGAGGCAAGGTAACCCATGAGGCAGGTGCTTGCTGCTGAGGGCTGGGTGGTATGCCAGGTGGCAGCAACCCTGCCCCCACAATTCTGCACTCCTTCCAGGGGCCACTCTGGGGATGCTGATGACGGTGCCAAGATGCCATCAGAGGTAGCATCAGAGCTCCCACTTACTGAGTACTTGCTGTGTGGCAGCCACAGAGCTAAGCATTCTTCATTCATTTTCTCACTTACATGGCCAAATGTTTTCCATTTGTAGTTAACAAAGGACTTTTACAATATATTATCTTAACTATCACAGATTCAGAGACTATTAACATCCTCATTTGAAGGTACAGAAACCAAAGCTCCCAGGGCTAATTGACCATCCAAGGTCAAATGTCAGTAAGTGGAGAATCAAGACCTTGAATCCAGTCTCTGGTTTTCTAGAACCTCAAGCACTCTCAAGTTATCTATAAGTCAGACTGTCTCCTTTCAAAAAGCCAAGAGAGGAGGCAGCATCCTAGTAAATGAGGAACATTGCTCCTACTTTGCTGCCAGAGAATTCAAAGCCTATGGCTCCTTCTAGAACAACCTGTAGACAGTTTATTCAAGTCCAAAGATTCCATTTCTTTTGGGGTCAGTTTGAAAAAAAAATCAAACTTATAGTAACAGAGAGCAGAATGGAGGTTACCAGAGGCTGGGAAATGAGGGAAAAGGGAAGATATTGATCAAAGGGTGCAAACTTTCAATTATGAGATGAAAAAATTCTGAAGACCTATGAACAGCATGATGACCATAGTTAATAATAGTGTACTGTACACTTGAAATTTGCTAAGAAACTGGATCTCAATGTTTGCACCACACACACAAAAGGTAACTATAGGAGGTTATGAATATGTTATTAGTTTGTAGTGATCATTTAATACTATATACATTTAATACTATATGTTGTACACCTTAAATATATACTATTTTTATTTGTAAAAAACAAATATATTACAAAATTTTAAACCGTTCAAAGAAAAGACTTTCCTCACTTTCCCCTCAGTATAAACTATAATCAATTCAATGATTCAGCAATAAATTACCCAGGATCTAGATGACCCAGATCCCCTCTCTTCCTTTTCTGCCCCTTCTTGACCTCTGGGCTTCTTTCAGCTTGTGTATCTCTCTTCCACAGTAGAAACAAAATGCCAGGAAAGAAACCACATATGGACCACATAGCTTCCTGTGACCTATAGTGAGCAATAGCTTCAATAGAGAAGGGCTGAAATCACTGGCAGAAGCAAGGAATTTTTGTGACCCCAGTTCAGTTCCCCCTTGGCTCTTGGGACTGCAGATGTCGTGAGCCAAGCTGGAATGGGCTGTCTCTGCCCATCCCCAAAGGCTTGCCCAAGTGTGGGAATTTCATGCCCTCCGGGCTGAGAAATCTAAAAACAAAGACCATATCCTGTTCATCTTTTGAAGGTAGCAGAGAAAGGCTGAAGAAATACTGGTTTGGGGAATACAAACTTTCTACTTAGCAGCATTATGACCCTGGGCAAATTACCTAAAACCCTCCAAGCCTGTTTCCTCACTGTACAAGTGTGGATAATGAGACTTATATCAGAATGTTGTAAAGAGTAAATGAGAGCACATAGTAAATCTTCTAGCCCAGTACATGAGCTCCCTAGGTCTGTTTTCCTTGTGATTCCCAGCACTGGTCTAGTGCCTCACACACGGCAGGTACTCAATAAACCATGAAAGGAAAAGGTGTTTTCACATTTTCAAACTTGGAGGCTGAGTGTTAGCTTTTTATACCAGCACTCCTCCCCCCGCCCCAGCACACACACAAAGCCAGGTTTATAGAACAACCAAAACAGTCAACTCCTTGGTGTTTTGGGAATTTTACCTGAAACTGTTGTTCTTTCCAGGACTACTTAGTAACTTCCTGCTCTCTAAGGGAAACTTGTCTCCTCCCATTTCTAACATTTTCTCAGCCTCCTGGAAGAAAATGAGACATTGTTATACCCTGGACCACGTAAAATCGTAAAATCGTAAGTCTACACCAGTCCATTTTTTTCTATCACCACAATTTCTACCTAATTTTTCTCACATTTATTATTAAAAAGTATAATTATATTCTTTCCTAGATTTGACTCATCACAAAAAGAAAGACAACTAAATATTTGTACCTATGGTGTAGTATTTTTTTAAAATCTTGAATCTGAGTAAGCCTCTAGATCTATCAATTTACTGGAAACACAGGTGACAGATGAACATGTTCAATGACATCAAGGACACATTTAGTAAAATGTAAATGGTGGGAAAACCTATAGGACAAAGACCTAGTTTCTTCAACAAAAACTTAAAAAGATAGAAGAGGAATTCCTAAAGAGATTTAAGAAACATATCAACCAATTGCAATATATGCATCATATTTGGATCCTGATTCAAACATATTATTAAAAATAATAATAAGGCAATTGGGAGAAACATAAATACTGAATGTTCTATTTTTGTATATGTTTGAAATGTTCCATATTAAAATATTTTCTTAGAAATAATTCCATTAATACAAAAATAATGAAAGAGAAAAATATGTACAAATATGTTTAAATTAGTATAGTTAATAAAACCTAAAACAACTATAAACTTTAACAAAGAATATTTAGATTAATTACTAGATAATATTATAGAGTATTATGCAGCCATTTAAAGAATAAATATGATTACTTATTGTATGGACATGTAGAAACATAAATGTGTCATAAAATCAAGTTAAGGTGAAAAAAATAAAAAATATATATACCCCCCCAAATATACAATTATTATAGTTAAGCGAAAACTATGTTAAGGATTTGAAGAGAACATAAAGAAGTAAGCATAAATGTTGAATGCTGACATAAAATTTTGGGGTGAAATCTTTTTTTTTTTTCATTTGATTTCATTTTTAAAATAATTTCATAAAGAATTTTTGGAAAGAAGGAGTATAATGTTTACTAGCCACCTTATACTTAACAATCCAAAAGACATCTTTTGATTTTCTTCTCAAACCTGTTGTTGCTAGGTCTTTCTCATCTTAATAAATAGCACAGCCATTCATCTAATTGTTCACTCCAAAAATCTAAGTGTTGTTGATTCCTCTATTACCCATCCTCACTATAATTAGCAAAAGCTGTTGGCTCTATCTTCAAAATAAGTCCCAAATTCAGCCATTTTCACCAACTTTCCCTTAGCCTAAGCCACCATCACCCCTTGCCTGAACTATTGCCACAGATTTCTAACTAATCTCTGGCTACCTCTTTCCCCCTTCCAGCCTCACTACCTTTCTTTATGTTCTTCCAGCATACCAAGCTCACCCTGCCTCAAGACCTTTGAATTTTCTGTTACCCTGGCCTGAAATGTTCCCACTCCCAGATATTATTATGACTTGCCCTTCACTTCAGGTTACTATTGAGATGTCTCCTTAGAGAGTCATCCCTAATCACCCTGAATAAAGTGACTTCCTTACCCACCCCCCCTTACCTTCTTAAAACACATCACTACCCACAATTTTATACAAATAAGTAAATATGTGTGTATCTATCTATATCTATATCTACATCTACATCTATCTATATCAATATCTATATCTATCTATCTACACACATATATATAATTTTAAGATTTTGTTCATAGAGTATTTGGATGCCTGAAAGCTTCACATTTTATATAGTGAATTCTATCAGTCCTCTCTTTAAAGTTTTATTCCATTGATTTTGTGCTTATAATTGTTAAAGCTTATTTAGCAATACAAAACAGACATATAGACCAATGGAATAGAATAGGGAACCCAGAAATAAACATTAACAAGAGAGCCAAAAAGACTCAATAGAGAAAGGATAATCTCTTTAATAAATGTTGCTGGGGAAACTGGATATTCACATGCAAAAGAATGAAACTGCAGCTTTATCTTAAATCATTCACAAAAATTAACTTGAAATGGATTAAAGACGTAAATGTAAGACCTGAAACACTACAATTCCTAGAAGAAAATATACGGGGAAAGCTCTTTGACATTGTTCTTAGCAATGATGTTGTGGATATGACCCCAAAAGCAAAAACAAGAAAAGCAAAAATAAACAAGTGGGACTACATCAAGTAAAAAGCTTCTGTACAGCAAAATAAATGATCAACAAAATGAAAGGACAACCTACAGAATGTAAGAAAGTATTTGTAAACCATATATATCTGATAAGGAGTTAGTATAAAAATATATAAAGAACACATACAACTCAATAGTGAAAAAGAGACAAAGCACAAACCACCAAATAATGCAATTAAAAAATAGGCAAAAGACCTGAATAGACATTTTTCCAAAGAAGATATACAAAGGCCAACAGGTATATGAAAAGGTGGCTCGACACCCCTAATCACCAGGAAAAAACAAATGAAAACCACAATAAAATATCACCTCATACCTGTTAGAAGGGCTATTATCAAAAAGACAAGAGAGCCCTGGCCAATTTGACTCAGTGGTTAGAGAGTCAGCCCACAGACCAATGAGTTGCGGGTTTGATTCTGGTCAAGGGCGCGTGCCTCGGTTGCGGTTCATCCCCGACCCTGGTCAGGGTTGCAGGAGCTAACCAGTCGATGTGTCTCTCTCACATTGATGTTTGTCTCTCTCTCTCCCTCCCTTCCACTCATCTGAAGATAAATAGAAAACTATCCTTGGGTGAGAATTAAAAAAAAAAGACAAGGGAGAATTCCTGTCAAGATGGTAGTGGAGGTAAATAATGGTCCTCGCCTCCTCCCACAACCACATCAACAACAGAACCACCATAATCATTCAGAACTGCCTGACATCAAGGTGAACAGAAGTCCTGCAACTACGAAATTAAAGAAGAAGTCACATCAAGACTGGTAGGAAGGGTGGAGGTGTGAAAGGGCTGGTCCCACACCCATATGAGGTGGATAAAAATCAGGAGGGATGATACCTCGGCTGTGAAGGTCCTCCTTGAGGAGCAAGGGGTCCCTGGCCCACACAAGGCCCACCAGCTCAGGGTTCCAGTGCCAGGAAAAGAAGTCCCCATAACTTCTGGCTGTAAAAACCAGCAGGAACTGAGGCTGAAGGAGGCTGAGGGTGCTGGAGGCCCAGGCAGTTCAAAGAAACATGTCCCAATGAAATAACAAAACAAAACTCCCTGAAAAGAACTAAATAAAATGGAGGTAGGCAATCTAACAGATGCAGAGTTCAAAACATTGGTTATAAGGAAGCTCAAAGAACATAGTGAGGACCTCAAGAGCATAAACAAGAACTAGTCAGAAATGAAGAATTTACTAACTTAAATAAACTGGCCATGGCCAGTTTGGCTCAACAGTTAGAGCATTGGCCCACAGACCAAAGGTCCGGTCAAGGGCACATACTTCAATTGTGGTTCGGTCCCCGGTCCTGGTCGGGTAGTGAGGGAGGTAACCAGTCGATGTGATTCTCTATCGATATTTCTTTCTCTCTCTCTCTCTCTCTCCCTCCCTCCCTCCCTCCCTCCCTCCCTCCCCATCCCTCCCTTCCTCTCATGCTATTGGAAGACAAGTGGAAAAATATCCTAGGGTGAGGATTAAAAAAAAGAAAAGAATAATTTACAGGTAATCAGTAGTAGAGCAGGTAAAGCTGAGAATCAAATAATCAATTTGGAATATAAGAAAGCAAAAAAACACCCAATCAGAATAGCAAAAAGAAAAATGAATCCAAAAAAATGAGGATAGTGTAAGGAGCCTCTGGGACAACTTCAAGCATACCAACATTCACTTCATGGGGGTGCCAGAATAAGAAGGGAGAGAGCAAGAAATTGGAAACCTATTTGAAAAAATGACAGAAAACTTCCCTAATTTGGTGAAGGAAATAGACATACAAGTCCAGAAAGCACAGAGAATCCCAAACAAGATGAACCCAAACAGGCCTACACCAAGACACAGCATAATAGAAATGCAAAAGGTTAAAGACAAAGAGAGAATCTTAAAAGCAGCAAGAGAAAAGCAGTTTGTTACCGATTTCTCAAAAGACACTTTGCAGGCCAGAAGGGAGTGGCAAGAACTATTTAAAGTGATGGAAAACAAGGGTCTACAACAAGATTACTCTATCCTGCAAAGCTATCATTTAGAATAGATGGACATGCAAAGAGCTTCCCAGAGAAGAAAAAGCTAAAGGAGTTCATCACCATCAAACCAGTATTATATGAAATGTTGAAGGGTCTTCTTGAAGAAGAACAAAAATATGAATGATAAAATGGCAATAAATACATACCTATCAACAATTGAATCTACAAACAACATGAACAAGCAGAAGAGAAACAGACTCATAGATACAGAGAACTTTTTGTTGGTTGCCAGATGGGAGGGGGTTAGGGGGATAGGCAAAAAAGGTAAAGGGATTAAGAAGTACAAATTGGTTGTTAGACTGATGAACCTCAAAGGGAACGGGGGACGAAGGGGAAGAGATAAACCAAAGAACTTATATGCATGTATGCATAACCAATGGACACAGACAACAGTGTGGGGAAGGCAGGAGGGGGGCAGGAGCAGGGAGGAGGGATTCAGTGGGGGAAAAAGGAGGGACATCTGTAATACATTCAACAATAAGATATGTTAAAAAAATAAAATACATTTTTAAAAAATGACAAGATAATAAGTGCTGGCAAGGATGTGGAAATAAGGGTACCCTTATACAGTGTTGGTGGGAATATAAATTGGTACAGCCACTATGGAAAACAGTATGGAGATTCCTCAAAATATTAAAAATAGAACTACGTAAGATCCAGCAATTCCACTTCTAGATATATATCCATAGGAAATGAAATCACTACCTTGAAGTACTATCTGCACCCCCACCTTTTTGCAGCATTATTTACAATAGCCAAGACATGGAAACAACCTAAGTGTCCATCAGTAGATAAGTAGATAAGAAAGGTTATTACACACACACACACACACACACACACACACACACACACACACAGGAATATTATTCAGCCATTAAAAAAAAATAGAAATTCTGCCATTTACAGCAACATGAATGAATCTTGTGGGCATTATGCTAATTGAAATAAGACAGAGAAAGACACATACTGTATAATCTCACTTATATATGGAATCTAAAGAAACTAAATTCATAGAAACATAACAGATTAGTAATTACCAGGGGTGGGGGAAATGGATGAAGGTAGTCAAAGGGTACTTAGTTTAAGATGAATAAATATTGGGGATATAATGTATAGTATGATGATTATACTTAACAATACTATACAACATATTTAAAAATTGCTAAGAGAGTAGATTTAAAAGTTCTCACCATAAAAAATAATTGTGACTACGTAAGGTGATGGATGTGTTAACTAACACTATTGTGGTCATCATTTTGCAATGTATACATACATAAAATTATTATGTAGTACACCTTAAACTTATACAATGTTTTATGTCAATTATATTTAAATAAAACTGGAAAAAATAGCCCTGGCTAGTTTGGCTCATCAGTTAGAATGCTGGCCCACAGACCGAAGGTTCATGACTTCAATTCCCAGTCAAGGGCACATACCTGGGTTGAAGGTTTGGTTCCTGGCCCTGGTTGGGGTTGTGCTGGAGGCACCCAATCAATGTATCTCTCTTGCATCGATGTTTCTCTCTCTCTCTCTCTCTCTCTCTCTCTCCCTCCCCCTCCCTTCCTCCCTCCCTCCCTCTCTCCCTCCCTCCCTCCCTCCCTCCCTCCACTCTATCTAAAAATCAATGGAAAAATATCCTCAGGTGAGAATTAACCAAAAAAAAAAAAAAAAAAAAAATCTGGAAAAAATAATTTTTAAAATTCAAGATATTGAAACAAATATCTTTTAAAATGCATTGCAAAGGACACTATTTCAGGCACTGACTGTATTTTCATTTTGCTCATATCCATCCTTTGCAATGTATAGACCACTGATTGAGGGCCCACTGTGTAGATGACAGATGCCAAGTACTGAGGAAAATGAGGAAGGACGGAAAGTCCTATGCAAGTTATCTTTGCATGGTACCAACCAGCACATCATCTGCAATTAGGTACATAACAAATACTCTCAGAAAATAATAGGTTTTGTATACTTGTCAAATTAGACCTCTTGGGAGAACATGACCCATTAAATCTGATAATAAGAGCAGATTCTATGTTCATATTCTAAGTTTGAACCTGGTGAATAGACTGTAGACAAACAGAAAAAAAACAACAACTGATTATCAAATCCAAAAATGAAGGATAGACAAGGACAAGAATCCTTAATCCTTTCTCAGCTGAGAACAGCTCTGGAAGAATCTTCCTAGCTCCTAAATATAACCCTTGGGATTCCAGACATGCTGACTTTTCATGTGGCCCCTTCCTATGTTCTGTAATTTGAGGCTGCCCCAAAGTGTACAGTTGGTGCAAGAACTATGACCTCTTCCTCCTTGGCCTTCTTTTTGGCATCATCCAACTTCTTCTTTTTGCTTTCAGGCATGAGATCATCTAACCAGCTCAGCTCTCGCTTAGAGAAACAGAGATCCATAACTTTCCTGACAAAGACCAGGGCCAAAACCTGAAGAAGAAGAGGGGAAAAAAGTGAATTAAAGGGACTTCTTTACTTCCTGTACTTAAAAGCAAAATCTTATTTTCACAGCAGGCTAGGACATTTCATGCAAAATCAAACTCATAATAATCAGTATGGTTGTCTTTTATTGACTGCCTTCTTTGTACCAGATACTAATGTGTTTTATATACAACATTTTACTTAACTTTCATAACAGCTTAGAGAGCAATTACTTTAATTCCCTCATTAAAAAGAGAAAACCCTTCATTTGCAGATGGCCCTAAGAGCTGCCTTTCCCTGGCTTGGAGCCAGCAGGAAGGGCTACCGGGAAGCATGGGGTGGAGCGCCTCTGCAGGAGCACGCCACGGTGGGGCCAGTCACGCACAGCCCAAGCGTGCCTCACCATGGGGTGAGGGGACCTTGAAGGACCATCTGGATTCCCTCCAATCTTTTGCCCATACATTTCCCACAAAAACCTTGTTTTATACCCTGCATCATGGATCTGTAGTGTTTTCTGTCTTTGTGCTCTGGCCTGGCCTGACAGTCTTGTTATAAGTAGAAAACTGAGGCCCGGGGAAAGAGAGTAAGTTGCCTAAATTCTCACAGCGAATTGCCTCAATGGAAATAGCTCAAGATGTCTGATTTGCTGCTCCATGTTTCCCCGTAGGGCCATTTTAGCCAAAGGAGAATAACGGAGAATGACCTGCCTGGATTGATTGGTGTTCACCAGCTACCTCTGGTGGCTGGACAAAGAATGAGGCAAATCAGGCTTACTAAATTCAACCACATTTCTCCTGAATTTCAGTTACTGTTTTCCCAATCAATCCAACACTGATAGTATCCCTTCCAGAAGTTGTCAGGAATTTGTTGCTTTTTTAACCAAACACTCAATCTCAGAACATAACACGCAAAATGCAGAACCCAGATGTGAGGGCGATCTGACTGCAACATCTGTCACCCCACTGATTGCCAGGATTGAGTCGACTGATCTGGCTGGCTAGGCAGGCATCCCTCTCCTCTCTCACCGAGCCATGTGCATGCCCCCCGAAGCTGTGTGCTCAGTCGAAGAGGATGACCTTCCCCCCGAGGAGAGGACTGGTCTTTGGTCAAGAGTATACGAGTACCTGTGCTCCCCTGCTAGAACCTCCAAACAAGCTCTCAAATGCAGAACCCTACATCTATAATGCTTTCAACAACAACAACAACAACAATAATAATAATAATAAAAAGTGATATTCTGGCAAAATTGAGAAACCCATCAGGAGATGATATATCTAGGAGACTAGAGAAAAAGAACCCCTGTCCAGTTTCCTCACTCTTGAATATTCTCCCAATAGGAGTTCAAAAGTGCCTAAACAAGTACCAAACATTACCCTCATTGCCTTTTCTCTCTAAAGGCCCACCCTTTGGGTAACTTTTAAACAGCCCATTGAATTCTCAGCTTTCTCATGACACAGAATGAGCCAGAGAAAGGTGGTGAAATGGTCAGGTGGCAAGAATTTCATCACCACCCTAGATTTAGAAAATAGCTTGTTGCCTGTTGCACCACACACAGTTCAGCTTCTCTAGTCTCCTTTCCAAAGCCCTTGCTTTGGTTAGAAAGGATCAAGTAAGACCGTCCCAGTCACCTAGTGCTAGAGCAACCTCACCCTCTCTCGCAGTGGCTCAAAACTGCATTTCACCCTGGCTGGTTTGGCTCAGCTGTAAGAGTGTCAGCCTGTGAACCAAAGAGTCTCGAGTTTGATTCCGGTCAAGGGCAGGTACCTTGGTTGTGGTTTGGTCCCCAGCCCTGGTCGGGGTCGTATGGGAGGCAACCAATCGGTGTTTCTCTCTCATATCAATGTCTGTCTGTCTGTCTGTCTGTCTGTCTGTCTCTCTCTCTCCCCTCCCACTCTATCTGAAGATAAATGGAAAAATATCCTCAGGTGAGGATTTTAAAAAACATCAGTGCATTTCTACCACTTTAGGCACTTCTGATTGCAATCAATTGTAAGTTGAAACTCTACTGCTTTGAAGTAATATGCAAATTATTGTAAACATGAAGAATCCTTTCCACCTGGCCAGTGTAGCTCAGTGGTTGAGTGTCGACCCATAAACAAAGAGGCCACCAGTTCAGTTCCAGGTCACAGCACATGCCTAGGGCCAAATCCCCAGTGCGGGCGTGCAGGGGGCGGCCAATTGATGTTCTCTTTCATATATGTTTCTCTCTCTCTCCCTCTCTCTCTCTCTCAAAAAAAATAGAATCCTTTCCATGTCATATTCACAAAAGAAAGTAAGGGGTGGGGGAGGGAAGGAGGAAGAAAGAACAGACAGCCTGGAAAATAAACACAGTAAACTGTTATACACATGTATCCACACCTTAAGGTCCCCAAAATAATGCTGTTCCTACAAAAAAGAAAACCTTACCATCAATAATGGATTAATATCCAGATTTTATAAAGAATTTCTAAAACTCAACAACAAAAACCCAAACAACCCAATTTAAAAATAGACAATTTGAATAGGCATTTATCCAAAGAAGATATACAAATAGCCAATAATAGCCAATAAGCACATGAAAAGATGCTCAATTTCACTAGCTATTAGGAAAATGCAAATCAAAATCACAATGAGATACTTCACACCCATTAGGATGGCTGATATAAAAAACAAACAAACAGAAAATAAGTGTTGGCAAAGATGTGGCAAAATTGAAATCCTGTGCACTGACGGTAGAAATGTAAAATGGTGCAACTGCTATGAAAACCAGTATGACAGGTCCTCAAAAAATTAAAAAAGGAAGTACCATATGACCCAGAAATGCCACCTCTTGGTATTTACCCAAAATAACTGAAAGCAGGGACACAAACAGATATTTGTTTACTGTTGCTATTATTCAACGAGTCAAAGCATTATTCAAAATAGCCAAAAGGAAGTAATCCAAGTATCTAGCAACAAATGAATAAACAAAATGTGGTCTATATACATAATGTAATATTATTCATCCTTTAAAAAGGAAGAAAATTCTGACACATATTACAATGTGGATGAACCCTGAAGACATCATGCTCAGTGAATAAGCAAATCACAAAAGGACAAATACTACAGGATTCCACTCATATGAGGCACCTAAAGCAGTCAAATTCAGAGACAGAAAGTAGAATGGTGGTTACCAAGAGCTGGTGGGAGGACGGAATGGGGAGTTATTACTTGATGGTACAAAGTGTCAGTTTTGCAAGATGAAAAAAGTTCTGGAGGTGTATGGTGGCAATGTGAATGTACTTAAAAATGGTTATGATGATAAATTTTATGTCATGTACATTTTATCACAATTTTTTAAACTTATCTTTATTGTTGAATGTATTACAGATATCTCCCACTTTTGCTCCCATTTACTCGCTCCTCCCCACTCCCACCCCTCTCTTGCCTTCCCCACACTATTGTCTGTGTCCATTGGTTATGCATTTATACATACATGTTCTTTGGCTTATCTTTTCCTGCCCTCCACCCTTCCCTTTGAGGTTCATCAGTCTAACAACCAATTTTTTTAAATAAGTAAAAAAAATTTAAAACTCACCATCATTGGAAAGATAATGGCAGCTGGAGATGCCTTGATGACCCAGAGCAGGACAAGGCAGGTCAACTGGATGAGGGTGAAGAGGTGCACTTTGCGTAGCGGCACATGCCGAAGGTAAATGAAATCTGGCTGGTGCTTTGCAGGCATCCCGAAGAGTTTCAGCCGATCAAAGAACTGGAAGAAGGGGACTGTCATTCATTTTCAAGAGGCTTCTCTGGGTCAGAAACTTGTTAGGCCCATGCATGTCTCTTACATCACCTGCTCTGAAAGGTAGGCAATACCATTTCCACTGGACAGAAATGGAAACTGAGTCTTAGGAAGAACAAGTAATTTGGCTAGAGTTGGTAAGTGACAGAATCAAATTTAAGATTCCTTTTTTAAAATTTTAAGTTCACTACCTTACGCCAGCAGGCGTGGGTAACCCGTTGAACCCCATTAGTGAGGGAATCGGGGATTGCAATTATTCCCAGTAAGTGTGGGTCACAAGCTTGCATTGAGTAAGTCCCTGCCCTTTGTACACACCGCCCAAATAAAATAAAAATAAATACATAAAATACAGTTTTAAGTTCAAATTTCCTTTTCTATTCTACACTGTAGCTCCTGAGAGAGCTCTTTCTTGGAGAGTGTTGAAAATATACATCTTTCTATTATCAAAACCAAATCTCTTCCTGGTTATTGGAGGAATTTGGAAATTCTCATTATTATTTATAGTAAAAACATGAAATGAAACCTCATAACATATTGGATATAGAAAATATGACCATCCTTATATTATGAAATGGAAAACAGGTCCAGGGAGATTAAATAATATGTAATATGTAATATGTCCGAAGTCATATTACAATTCGGTGTATAAGAATAACCACTGGACATTCCATAAAAGCAAAGAGGAACTAGCCACCAATAGTAGAAGCAGCTAAGTCATTATATCATCTAGGGTACCCAGTAATGAGTGCCAAGCTCCTGAGTTTCTCTGTTCAAAAGACTCCGAGGAATGAATTGCTAGATGGGAAATGGCAGAGTGTGCAGGAAGTACTATCTGCTTATCTGGAGCAACTCCCACTACTCCCCAGTCTCTTCACCAGTGTACCCCAGTAAAAACCCCGCTCTCACTTTAGCCTGGCACTAGAACTAGCATTGTCCATGTGTGGAAACCAGTTTGGTTTTTGACCAAACTTTCATATCCAAGTTACCAGCATCTGACAAGGTACCCATTATTTAATGTGTGCCTATTGTCTGTTGAGAAAAATAACAAATGACTAGAACCATGACATCAAGCCAGGCTACTCTGTAAGTCCCTGTACCCTCATGGCTGCATTTAGCTCAGTATCCAAAGAAATGTCTAAAATAGATTAACCGGCAAAACTAGGAAAAGCTTTCTCAAGAAATAGTTTGTGCTGGAGCTGTCCCACCCTGGTCAGGACAAGTGAGCTCACAGTGAGAAGACATTGTCCTAGCTGAGCCATACAGTACCTGAATTCCCTGTAGTGAAGAAACTCCCATGTAGAGGAAGACTCCATAGAGTACTGGCATTGGGATGAACTGAAGACAAAGGGCAGAAAAACCAGAGATTACACTTGAAATCAACACACTCAAGACTATAACAACTTTTAAATTTCCAAGAAGAAAGTAAAGTCACAAAATCATAGAATAGACATTGCATTAATTTCTGCAGTCTTTTCATGATTTAGAAGTAGAAGCAAGACAGGCTATGATACAAATAATTTTGTTCTGAAATGAAATGATTACATGTAGGTGTAATCTGGTCCTGGTAAAATCATAGGCCTCATGTCTTACCATATCTGGCTCTTCCTCCTCTGTGAGGATGGACACACACACACACATCTTTATTTTTAACTAGTGAGAGAGGACAGGTACATCTTTTTCATTTTTAAAATTTTATTTTTCAATAATAGTTGACATTAAATATTACTTTATATTACTTTCAGGTTACAGCACAGTGGTTAGACAATTATATAATTTATAAAGTGATCCCCCTGATAATTATAGTACCCACCTGGCACCATACATAATTATTACAATATTAATGACTAAATTTCCTACTTTACATTCCTGTGACTATTTTGTAACTACCATTTAGTACTTCTTAATCCCTTCACCGTTTTCTCCCAGCCTCCCAACCCCCACCCCATTTGGCAACCTTGTTTATTCTCTGTATCTATGAGTCTATTTCTGTTTTGTTTGCTCATTTATTTTGTTCTTTAGAGTCTAACAGAAATCATATTAGTCTTTCTCTGTCTGGCTTATTTTATTTAGCATAATACCCTCTAGGTCCATCTATGCTGTTGCAAATGGTAAGATTTCACTCACTTTTATGGCTGAGTAATATTCCATTGTATATATGTACCACCACTTTTTTATCCACTCATCTACTGATGAGCACTTGGGTTTCTTCCATATCTTGGCTATTGTAATAATGCTGCAATGAACATAGGAATGCATATATCTTTTCCAATTAGTGTTTTAGAGTTCTTCGAATCTATGCCCAGAAGTGGAATCACTGGGTCATAAATTCTACTATTAATTTTTTGAAGAACCTCTATACTGTTTTCTACAGTGGCTGCTCCAATCTGCATTCCCACCAACAGAGCAAGAGGGTTCCCTTTCCTCCACATCCTCATCAGCACTTGTTATTTGTTCATTTATTGATGATAGCCATTCTTCTAGATGTGAAGTGATACCTCATTGTGGCTTTAACTTGCATTTTCCTGATAATTAATGACATTGAGCATCTCTTCATGTCTATTGGCCATCCGTATGTCCTCTTTGCAGAAATGTTTATTCAGGTCTTTTACCAATTTTAACTGGATTATTTTTGGTGTTCAGTTATGTGAGTTCCTTTATTTATTTTTAAATTTATCTTTGTTATTGAAAGTATTACAGATGTCCCCCATTTTTCCCCCATTGACCATCTCCTCCCTGCTCCCGCCCCCTACTGCCTTCCCCATGCTATTTTCTGTGTCCATTGGTTCTGCATATATGTATATAAGTTCTTTGGTTTATCTCTTCCTACCCCTCCCTTCCCTCTGAGGTTCATCAGACTAACAACCAATTTATACTTCTTAATCCCTTTACTTTTTTGACCCATCTCCCCAACCCCCCTCCATCTGGCAACCAACAAAAAGTTCTCTGTATCTATAAGTCTGTTTCTCTTCTGCTTGCTCATTACTTGTAGATTCAATTATTGATAGATAAATATTTATTGCTATTTTATCATTCATATTTTTCTCCTCCTCTCTTTCCCCCTCCTCCTCAGAGACACTTAAACATTTCATATAATACTGGTTTGGAGGTGATCAACTCCTTTAGCTTTTTTGTCTGGAAAGCTCTTTGCATGTCCATCTATTCTAAATGATAGCTTTGCAGGATAGAGTAATCTTGGTTGTAGATCCTTACTTTTCATCACTTTAAATAGTTCTTGCCACTCCCTTCTGGCCTGCAAAGTTTCTTTTGAGAAATCTGCTGAGTCTTATGGGAGCTCCCTTGTAGGTAACAAACTGCTTTTCTCTTGCTGCTTTTTAAGGTTCTCTCTTTGTCTTTAACCTTTTGTATTTTTATTATGCTATGTCTTGGTGTGGACCTCTTTGGGTTCATCTCATTTGGGACTCTCTGTGCTTCCTGGACTTGTATGTCTGTTTCCTTCACCAAGTTAAGGAAGTTTTCTGTCATTATTTTTTCAATTTCTTCCTCTCTTCCTTCTCCTTCTGGCACCCCCATGATGCAAACTTTGGTATGCTTAAAGTTGTTCCAGAGGCTCCTTACATTATCCTCATTTTTTTTTTTTTATTCTTTTTTTGTTGCTGTTCTGATTGGGTGTTTTTTGCTCCTTATATTCCAAATTGATTATTTGATTCTCAGTTTTACCTACTCTACTATTGATTCCCTGAATTATTCTTTATTTCAGTTAGTGCATTCTTCATTTCAGAGTGGTCCTTTTTTATGCACCTGAGGTCCTCACTAAGTTTCTTGACCATCCTTATAAACCGTGTTTTGAACTCTTTATCTGTTAGATTACTTATCTCCATTTTGTTCAGTTCTTTTCAGGGAGTTTTTTCTGTTCTTTCATTTGGGACATGTTTCTTTGTCTCCTCATTTTTGGCTGCCTCTCTATGTTTGTTTCTATGTATTAGTTAGAGTTGCTATGTTTCCTAGGCTTCCTAGGGTGGCCTATTATAGTAGGTGTCCTATAGGATCCAGTGGCACAGCCTCCCTTATCACCCGTGTTGGGCACTTGAGGTGTACCCCGTGTGGATTGTCTACCCTATGTTTTAGTTGAGTCTTGACTGCTGTTGGCACATCAATGGAAGGAATTTAATCAGGCTGATCAGCTTCAAGGACTGGCTGTGACCACTGACCACCGACCCCTGACCACCTTGGAGGATCAGCTGTGCAGGGGCCCACCACACAGAACAAGACTTACTTCAGCAGGGCTCTGGTACCCACTGAGTCCACTCCTTGAGTATGTCACTTGTGGTTGCATGGTGGTGCTTCAGTGTGGTCTGAAGTTATCCACTGGGTGTGCTGGCTCTGGGGCCTCCCAGGAGGTGCAGGCCAAGGTCAGCCACTGCCTGTGTTTTACCCAGGGCCACCAGGCATAATCTACAAAGTGATCTGCAGATGGCTGCATCTTGTGCTGAGCTTGGACATGCCCAAGCAAGGCCAAGCTGTGAACTAAGGCCAGCTACTGCTAGTGCCAGGCCTGGGGCCACTTAATGAGAGGAATGGGGCTTGCTGAGGCTGGATGCTGCTTGTTTGAGAGATTTCAGGAAAATTTGAAGCATGAACCAAGACAGGCAATTCTATGGTAAAGCGACTGGAAACATCTTGGGTGGCCCTGAAAGCTGAGTGGGGCAGAGGCTCAGGGGCAGGGCACACAGTGTGAGCCAGATTGCTGGAGTCCCAGACATGGCAGCTGTCTGCCTGCCCCATGGTGGAAGGGTTCACCAAAGGAACATCGGTCTCTGCCAGCACGTCTGTCCCGGAGAAAGCTGTCCCTCCAGATCTCATCCTGTTGCCAAACAACTAAGTTCTTCCCTGTATGTCTCTAATGCCTTTCAAGCTGCCTCCCTCATGCTGGAGCCCAGAGGGAGTGAGTCCAAGTAAGTCTGTGTGCAGGCCCTTTAAGAGGAACTGCCTGGGCCTCCAGAACCCTCAGCCTCCTTCAGCCTCAGTTCCTGTTGCTTTTTACAGCCAGAAGTTATAAGGACTTCTCTTCCTGGTACTGGAACCCTGAGCTGATGGGCCTGGTGTGGGACGGGGACCCCTTGCTCCTCAGGGAGGACCTTCACAGCCGCGGTATCATCCCTCCTGATATTTATTCGCTACACATGGATATGGGACCAGTCCTACTTCGCCCTTGCCCCTCCTCCCAGTCTAGTCGTGGCTTCTTTAATTTTGTAGTTGTGGGAACTTCCATTTGGCCCGATTTCAGGCTGTTCTGAATGATGGTTGTTCTGTAGAGCTGTAATATCGATGTGGTTGTGGGAGGAGGTGAGTACAGCATTTACCTATTCCACCATCCACAATGGTATCTTTATTCCCTCATTGTCCTCTATACCTAGATTCCTATCATGCTCCCTGCCACTTCAACTTCCTATTTTTCATGAGTTCTTTATAAATTTTGGATCTTAACCCCTTATGGGCTATGTCACTGATGAATATCTTCTTCTATTCAGTAGGTTGTCTTCATTCTGTTATGGTTCCCTTTGCTGCATAAAACTTTTTGATTTGATGTAGTCCCATTTGTTTAGTTTTATCTCGTTTCCCTCGACTGAGAAGATATATCAGAAAAAAAATGTTACTAAGAGAAATGTCAGAGATTTTCTTGCCTATGTTTTCTTCTAGGAGCTTTATGGTTTCAAGTATTACATTTAAGTCTTTCATCCATTTTGAGTTTATTCTTGTATATGGAAAGAAGATAGTCTGATTTTGTTGGAGAAAAGCATGGATGGTCTTTCCCTGTTGCTAGTGGGAGTGGGGTTCCAGGGGTACCACTGGAATAAGCACTTCTGGAGGCCCCCACAGGAGGATGAGAAGTGGTAGAAAGCTTTACTTTCATGGGATTACATCCTTGGGTTTCCAAAGTCCCATTTCCTTTAATCCACTCCTGGAAGATGTACAGCTGGACATTCAGTAAAGCTAGAGGCAAATCCAGCATCCAAAGTTTCCTTTCCATGGTGGATTTGGGTCCAGTATAGCATCAAGCTGTACATCTTCCATGGTGTGGAGTCCATTAGTCCATGGTGTGGGGAGTCCACATGTCTGTGGGTCATATGGGTGAGTGCAGGAGAGAGGAGCATGAGCGCCCCTGAGAAACCAGGAGTGCAAGAGGGCAAGAGCACAAGAGGGCCTTGTGTGAGGATTAACCATAAAAAAAAAATCTCAAATCTTCCCATGCTTGCAGTGGCCACGCCTACTCTGGCCAATGACCTGTTCCCAGGTGTGATTGACAAACAAGTACCTTCCCTATGTCACCTAGACTTTACTGGGCATGTGTCTATTCTTCCAGTGGTCTGTGGAAA